CGGACGCGCGGACGCGGGCTCCCGACTCGCGTTGGGCCGCTGCTCACCGAGACCCCCCGAGCTGGGCTCCGCCGACCGCCCGCGGAGGCCGCCCGGCGGGACCCGGAAGCACGAACTTAGCGCCCACAGCTTCGCACTACGGAAAAGGAGAAGGGCCAGACTTTTTAATCGCAGTTCGCAGCGGAACTCTCGCGAGAAGCGTCTGGGGGTGGGGCGGAGCGCGGAAGCCCCGAGGTTGACAAAGGAAAGCTGGGTCCTAGCTCCGTCCGGACCAGACGGAGGAGGGCGGGCCCGGTGGTGGCTGTTTGTGGCTTCCTTTCCGGACAGGGGACGTTGGGTCCAGCCTGGGTATCCAGAGGCCCACGGGGTGCCGGGGGCGCGCTCCTCCCGAGCCCCCCCTCCTCCCCGAGCGCTCACGGCCCGAGGACCTGCGGCGGGGGCGTGTCAGATGGAACTGCGAGGCCGGAGCTGGGGTCTCGGGCCGGCGGGGAGGCGGGAAGCCCAGCTGCGCTCGGAAGACACCTCGGGCCGGACGTGGGGGCGCAGCCGGTGATCGCAGCTGCGCAGGAGGCTGAGGCGGGAGGAGCACGAGGTCGGGGTCTGGGCAGTGTAGCGAGACCCTGTCCCCAAATTTTAGATGAATATTTAAACGGGCCGGGGTGTAGCTCGTGTTAGTGTTTGCCTGGCATGTACGAGGCCCCGAGTTCGCCTCTACTAGGGCTAAACAGAAGAGAACAAGAAGACATTTCAGGTCACTGATGTTTTGCGATCACCTCGGCAGAGCAACGGGGCCTCAGGATCCCAGTAATGTGCTGTAGTTTGGTTTCCGGAGCTGAAAAAACGCCCACCTTCACAGCATTTGTTTGGTGCTGGGCCTGAGCCCAAGGCCTTGGGTCTGCGCGCCTGCACTGCCCCTGACCTACAGCCCCGGCCGCTCTTCCTTTCTCAGCGGTCTCCGTGAGTAGTGGGGCCACAGCCACTCACCATGCACCCTGGCTTCCCGCCTTTCTTGATCTTTTTCTTTTTTTTCTTTGAAATGTTTGTAGCCCAGGCTGGCCTCGAACTCGCAGTGATCCTCCTGCCTCAGCCTCCAGAGTGCTGGGATTGCCGGGGTGTGCCACCACGCCCAGCTTGGGTTTGTGTTGTGATGGGAACCGAACCCAGGCAGGAACTGCCCTGTTTTTCAATTTTGACAGTTTTGCTAACTTGCCCACATGCCTTGAACTAGCAATCCTGCTTCAGCCTCCTGAGTAGCTGGGATTACAGGTGCACCTCATGGAATTGGCTGTGATGTTCCTAAAGAGAACCTCCAACATATGTGAGCTCTCAGCCCAAAAACCTGCCTCTGGAGCCGAGACTAAAGACTAAAGGGTCAGGTTTCTTGCAGGAAACATCGTAAATTGGAATTTAAAGAGAGGCTTGAGCCAGGCTGGAGGCTGAGTCAAGAGGATCAAGGTTCCAGCCTAGCCTGGGCAACTTCGTGTTTTAGTGAGACACTGTCTCAAAATGAAAGTTTTAAAAGGGCTGGGAAGGTAGCACAGTGCAGAGGCCCTGGATCGAGTCAGTAGAAGACAGAGATGCAGAAGTGGGGGTGGGGGGACATCGGAGAGACGGGAGAGAGGTGGCGAGAGAAAGCAAACTTGATTGGAAAATGAATCAGCGAAGGCTGCGGGGCAGCGTCCCAAACGCCGGCATGGTCTTGTTTGCAATGTAATGTAATCTGCGAGCTCGAGGTCAGCCTGGGCTACGCAGTGAATTCAGGGCCAGCCTGAGCTGCATTCCGAGACCTTGCCCCTCCCCCGCAAAAAAAAAAACAAAACAGAAAGGCTATCAAGAAAAATCCAAAATAAAGAAGAAAAACAAAATCCAGCAGAGTAAGGAACCACCCTACGGGGGCAGGGAGGCTGGTGGTCTAGGGCGACAGTGAAGACCTGAACAAGGGGATGGACTCAGGCAGGAAAAGGCGAACCGACTGAGCACAGCCCGTGCAAAGGTCCTGGAGCGAGGGGGTGCCTGCCGTGGGCAAAGATAAGGAGCTCCGTGGATGAGGGCGGAGAGGAGGCAGGGCTGGCTAGCAGAGGTCTGGGGCACCTTGCAAAACCTCGGGTCCTAACAACTGAGAACGCTGCAGGAGGAGTTTAGAGCAGAGATGTGATCAGACTTTTTTGCGGGGAGATGGAGGCCAGGCTGGCCTCAAATTCACAGCAGTCTTCCTGCCTCAGCCTCCCAAGAGCTGGGATTATAGGACTGCGCCACCATGCCTGGCAGACTTTCATTTCTTGAAATGCCGTGCTGGCTGCACTGTGTAAATTTTGCTGTTGGTGGGCAGGGTAGGGTCAGGGGCCAAGGGGTGAGGGGGGCGGTGGTGAGCCGGGTGCTCTGGAGCTGGAAGTAGGGCTGTGTCAATGGATTGGGTGAAAGAGTGGCAGGAGTCTTACTGCAACATTTTTTGGGTTTTCCTTTTTTTTTTTTTTTTTGTTTTAATCTTTTTGAGACAGGGTCTTGATACGCAGTTCAGGACAGCCTGGAGCTCACTTTGTAGCCCAGGCTGGCCTCGAACTTGAAATGATCCTCCTGCCTCAGCCTCCCGAGTGCTGGGATTATAGGCGTGTACTACTGCACCCGGTCTACTGCAAGTGTTAGGGTCGAGACACTCGCCGCGTGAAGGAAGACTCCAAGAGACGTTCTCTCATGCAAAAAGCAAGGGGATTTTATTTACCAAGCATGCATGGGGCTCACTGAGCTCGCAGGAACAGAGAGCCCCGAGCCAGGTCAGTTCTGGCTCTTTAACCCGAAAAACCACAAAGGAGGGGGCTTGCAAGCGTCATTACAGAAGCAGATGGCACTGGTTAATACACATAGTTTTTTATACTTATTGGGCCTCTATGATGTATAGTGTGCAGGAATGCAGAGTTTTTCTGCTTATGGGCAAGGGGAGGGGGAGATATCTGTGTCAACACCAGATGTTCTTTCTTCCAAGGACAGAAGATAATGCTCTGGCCCTTCTGGTGCTCCCTCCTTTCCGGGCAATCTCAAACCTGTTGAAACTGCTTATCTATGAGTCACAAGAAGCCTTATTTTTACATTTTTACACAAGGGTTTTGGAAAAGGAAGAAATCTCGAGAAATGGGGAGAACAAGGAAGAGCAGGTGCCCCCATTAGGAATTAGATGCTTGGTTTTGTTTGTGGAGCCCAGACTGGACTCTAACACTTGTATTCTCCTGCCTCAGCCTCCTGAGTGCCGGAATTACAGGTGTGCCCCCCCATATCCTGCTAGGAATTGGGAACTGGAAGGCATCTTTGGAAGGCATCACTGCTGAGAGGGAAGGAGCAGATACAGCCAGGCACAGTGGTGTCCACCTGTCATTCCAGCACTTGGGAGACTGAGGCAGGAGGATTGCTGTAAGTCCAAGGCCAGTCTGGGCTCCATAGCAAGACGTGGCCTCCGGAGGGAAATGCTACTTGAAGTCGTGCAGCAGCGTGAGAGTGTGTGGGGGAGAGAGGGTGCCCCTGGCGCCCACACCGTGACCTTGTGAGCACGCAACCCGCTCTCAGGTGCACCAGGACAGCTGGGGGCTGGGCAGGTTTCACATCTCAGAGTCTCAAGCCGCGCTGGCCTCGGCCCTTGCTGGAGGCAGTGGGGACAGCCGGGTGCAAGGGCCTGGGGCAGGGAGAGTGGCAGCGGCGAGGAGGCCCCACACTGCAAGGATGCGGGGTGGGGTCGGTGTCACCGTGCTGCCCTCACCACAGCCCCAGGCCCCCAAGGGCTCCTCTCTCTGCCCCCGAGTCCTGCTGCCCCCTCCTGCCCGACCCTGCCTCGCCTGCCCTCCTCTCACTCCCGCCAGGCCCCCCATGCTGTGCCCCTGCAGGCCAGGAAGGAGGACAGATCGTGGCAGTCCAGGTGGCTCTGGCCCTGGCCAAGCATCCTGGGAGAGCTGTGCTTTCTTAACTATGAGGTGTGGTCAAACACTATGGTGAGTGGTTACATTTTTTTGTTTGATGTTCACTTTCTTTTTTCTTTTCTTTATTTTGAGACAGGGTCTCACTGTGTATCCCAGACTGGCCTCAAACTTGTGGGGGATCCTCCTGCCTCAGCCTCCCAGAGGATTGGAATGACAGGTGTGCATCACCACACCTAGTGGTGAATGCTTATGTTTTAAAAGATGCATTACAGCCGGGCGTGGTGGTGCTCACCTGTAATCCCAGCACTTGGAGGCTGAGGCAGGAGGATCGTTTCGAGTTCGAGGCCAGCCTGGGCTACAAAGTGAGCTCCAGGCCAGCCTGAACTGCATAGCGAGACCCTGTCTCAAAAGACGAAATAAACAAATAAAAATAAAAAACGTTACAGTAGAAGACTCGGTGCCATAAATGCCCCTCAAACTCACCCCCTCACTTGGAGCGCATTAGTCCTAGCCTGCTCCCCGCTTTCTGCGGGTCTAGACTCCCCTTCGCTGTGCATCTTTAGTGCTGTCGCAGCGGCCTCAACGTCCTGAATGGGTTCAAGACATTTCCCTTCCACGGGCTCTCGGGAGAGCCCGAGTATGCAAGCCGCTTGCTTCTGCGAGTAAGCGGGACGAGGACACACTCCTGTTTTTACGAGGACTTTCCACTGGGTGGCGCTCGGCAGCAAGGCGCTCTGTATTTTTGATCGCACGTCATGAAGACACTCAGGAGATGAGTTTTGCAGAACTGCTTCAGAAAGGGCACGAGCGATGGGAAGATCGCGTACAAGGCAGGGGAGAGAATTCTGAGGGCGATTCGTGACAATGTGTCTCTTTCTCTATAGTACATTTTCTGTTTTTTGTTTGTTTGTTTTCTAGTACCGGGAATCGAACTCACGACCTTGCGCTTGCCAGGCAGGCGCTGTGCCGCTGAGCTAAATCCCCAGCCCCCGTGTTTTCTTTTAAGCATTCACCGTATATTTCGATCATACCGGCCTCCCTTCTTTCTATTCGGTAGTGGGGTTTGAATCCGGGGGCGCTGCACCCCTGCGCTACATTCCCATTCCTTTCATAAAGTTTTACTCTGAATCTCCCAGAGGAGCCCAGCCTGAGCTCAGACGTGGCGATCCTCCTGCCTCAGCCTCGAGAAGCTGGGAAGGCAGGCGTGTCCGCCGCGCACCGCACCCCGGTCCTCTACACCCCTGGTCTGCAGGGAGGGTCCCAGTAGCACACACCGACAGACAGTAACAGTAACTGCGGCTTTATTATCTCAGGCCTCGCGGCAGCCCGGCAGCCAGACCACACTGGAGATCCATCAGAGGCGCGCGCAGCCTTCCCCGGGGGCGGCGCCCGGCTCCGCGGCCCCGGGGTCGGCGGCGAACACCGCGCGGTGCATGGCGGCCACGTAGCTGCGGCCGCTCGGGTCCTCCACGCGCAGGCGCGCGAGAGGCAGGAAGCGCTCTGTGCAGAAGTAGCGCAGGGCGGGCTGCGGGGCGCGCAGGGCGGCCAGGAAGACCTGGGGGCGGGGCCTGTGAGTCAGACCCCGCCCACAGCAAGGCCCGCCCCCGCCCGGAGCCCCGCCCACCTCCGCCACCTCCTCCGGGTCCTGCGCCTCGCGCGCCACCTGCTCGCAGTGGCGCTGGTACAGCGAGAAGAGCTGGCGCGTGCGGGCGTCCGTGCGGTCCAGCGCCCCGCCCAGGCCGCCCTCCAGCTTCTCGTAGAAGGCGGTGTGCACCGGGCCGCACTCGATGAGGCTTACGCTGCAGCGACAGGGGATGGCGCTGGGGAAGGCTTCAGGCGGGCGGCGGGACCCGTGAGACCCGTGGGACTGGGAGCCGCCCCGCTGCGCCCCCCGAGTCCCTTCCGCCAGACAAGAGAGGTGCCCGGGCTGGGCGTGGTGGCGCACTCCTGTAAGCCCAGCACTCGGGAGGCTGAGGCAGGAGGATCGCTTCGAGTTCGAGGCCAGCCTGGGCCACATAAGTGAGTCCAAGGCCAGTCTGAACTGCATAGTGAGATCCTGTCTCAAAAAGACAGAAATAATAAAAAAAGAAGAGGTGCCAGGGCCCCAGGTCGGGCCCCCGGGGTCGGACAGGGGGGGTGACTCACTGGACCCCGAAGGGCAGCAGCAAGACCGCCAGGCTCTCGCACAAACCCTCGAGCGCGAACTTGCTGGCACAGTAGATGGCGTTGAAAGGCAACCCTGGTGGGCGATCCGGGTTGCTGAGGCCGAACCCGGCCCGCCCCGCCCCGCCCTCCCTGCCCAGCAGGCCCCCCCAGACGGCCTCCCGCAGCCCGCTCCTGTTGGGTGCGGCCAGTGCCCGCCATGCCCCGCGACGTACCCCCCACCCCTCTGCCTTCCCTCGGGTTGGGCGCGGCCGCGCAGGTCTCCGCCCCCGCCCCATCCAGCCCACCCCTCTCCACGCCGCCCCCCGCCCCGCGCACCCATCAGGCCGCCCACGCTCCCGGTCACCAGCACGCGGCCCGAGCCGCGCCGCTTCATGTCCGGCAGGAAGGCCTGGACCGTCCGCACGGTCCCGACCACGTTCACGTCCAGCACAGAGCCCACGGCGCCCAGCTCGTGCGCCTCCAGCGGCCCGAGCAGCCCGCGGCCCGCGTTGCACACTGGGGGACAGCAGACCCCTTGTCCG